TTGACGAAAAATATTTCCATCAAAATTTTCAACGAAACACATTTCTATCGAAAATTGTTGATGCAAAAAAATTTCATAAATATTCTTAACAGGATTTAAATTCTGTCGAAAGTTTTCGACGGAAACGTTACACTTTTTGGCAAAAAATATTTCTGTCAAAAATTTTAACGAAACACATTTTCATAGAAAATTTTTGACGGAAAATATTTCCGTCAAGTTTTATGATAAAAACATTTTCATCAAAATTTTCAACGGAACGCATTTCTGTCAAAAAAAATTTGACAAAAAATATTTCTGTAAAAAAATTTGACGCAAAAAAATTTGACGGAAAAAATATTCGGTCAAAATTTTTACAGAATCTAAATTTTGTCGAAAGTTTCGAATGAATCATTTCCCTCAAAATTTCTCACAAAACAATTTCTGTCGAAATTTTCGTCAGAACAAATTTCCATCGAAATTTTGAACGGAAAACGTTCCGTCAAAATTTTTGACATAATTCTTTTTTTGTTTAAATCAATCGATGGAAACTAAATTTTGTCGAAAATTTCGATAGAAAGTTTATTTTTGTAAAAAATTTCATCGATTGAAAAATTCCGTCGCTTTTCGACGAAAAGTATTCTGACGAAAAAAATAATTTTGTGATAAAATTTTCATCGTTTGCAACGTAGAAATTTCATCGAAAATATGATTTTTTTGGTGTTGTGAAAAGTACATACATAATTTTGTTAAAAATTTTAAATTTAATTTAATTTATAAAATATAATAATTATATTAATTTAATAAAAGGGTAAAATGGTAAAAATATCTCATTAACTCTCAAACAAGGGAAGGGAATACCCTTCAATTTCCTTCCCTTCCTTTCCCCTCCCTCCCCCTTGGATCATCTTCCTTCCTCTCCCCTCCAATCTCCCAAACAAAGCCTAAATTAAGGGGAAAGAACGATAGGTTTTGACGTTTCGAAGAGCTAAAATATGACTATAGTTATTTTTGTTATGGAGAATGGCAAGCACGTCTTAAATTTTTAATACAAGAAATTGCAATTTTGGTTGGATCAAGGCAAGGGCGGACCTATTTGGGTGCCATTGTCTGCATTTGCAGACATAAAAAAATTGAGGAAATTTTTTTTTCACATAGGATATGTGATTCAGGCCAAGTAAAAAAAATAAAAATAGGAAGATTGAAAGAAAAAAGGTAAAGAGTGGAGAAAAATCACACATGATTTTTCACGATCTTTTGTAAAACAAAAGTGGTCAACTTTGGATCAAATAGATATGTGGGTTTTGATCTATTAACTCCTATATTTATACTATATTTTACAAAAATATCTTTTTGTGATGTTATTTATTTTTTAATTATCATTATCGATTATTTCCTTAAAACTTTGGTTGATTTAACAAAGCTTTACTTTTGAAGTGGAAGCAAAAATTGGATCATGATCTTTAAAAAAAAAAAATCGAGGACAGCCCCCCAAACCTCTGCCCTAAGTGTGCAGACATAAAAATATTTTTCTGGATCCGTCATTGGATCAAGGATATAGTTAACCAATTAAGATGTAGTTAGCTAACCAATTTTTCTCTCTCAAAGTATGCTGAAAATTCAGAGACCAATCACTACTCAACCATGTCCGTATAATATTATATACGCGAATATAATAGTAGCACACATATTAAAAAGAAAACGTTAATTTAATTTATTATATTATTATCTCTACCCATTATTCTAAAATTCAGTTGGTTGGTTATAATATTACTGTTGTTATACACATGGTAAGTCAAGTGGACATGGCTAGAAGGCATTGACTGGTAAGTGGTAACTTTTAATCCCTACCCAAGAGGCAGTGTAATTATACTAATTTCTCATATTGCTTGATAAAATTGTAAATTTATGACTGTCCAAAGAGGTCTATTGGAATTATCAAAATAAGAGAAAAGATTGATATCATTGATAGGTAAAAAAATGATTTATACATAATTGAAGCTCTTATACAGAAGAGTAAGAGAGAAAATAGAAAATTATAAAATATTACAATATATCAAAATATTCTAAAATAATGTTTTTATTCTTAATACTTCCTCTCAAGATGGAGAATGAATAAGGTGAACTCCCATCTTGAACAAGAAAAACTAAAAAGCATAACACCAAAATAAAAAAATAAAATGTCAACAAAAAAATCTCCTGAATGTAGAACCAAAATCAATGGTGTACTAGAATGATCCAAGATGGACATCGATGAAATAAAACTGTGCCAAAATGCACATCGATAAAATCAACTGAGCTAGAATGAACATATAAGCAACATGCACAGTGCCGGGATGGACATCGACAAAAACATCTGAGCTAGAATAAACATCAGTAACATGAGCAATGCTCTTCCTGAATGGGGAACCAAAAGAGTGACAAACAATATCAAATATAAACCAAGGGTTTGATAAGAGTTATGTTGTAGAAAAAGTGATTGTGTAATGTTATAGAGATTCATTTTGCGTGCCGTAGTTTTTTTTTTTTTTGCTTTAAAAAGTGCGAGCCCCACAACATATTGTGTGTGTAGGAAACTTTTTTGTGTCATGTGACATGATAGCTGCAAACCCCATAAACCAAACCAGACCAGAAAAATAATGGAAACAAAATGAAAATGGCAAAAATACGAGCCAACAACAAATACATATAAAAAAATAACTCAAAAAGTCTATGCTGAAAATGTCCTAAACGGCAAACCAAAGGAAAGCTTGAATAAGCTTCAATAGTGGTCAGAAACAAAGACTCCACAAGAGACGGTGGCGGCAGCAAAATAGGTTGAATTGGTTTTTTACATGATATCTGAGTCTCGGTGTCCTAGGTTCAATTCTCGTCGTCCTCCATTTTCTTTGTAAAATTTCTTAGCACAGGTAGACTGGTCTGATGCATCATCCATCTTTCAAGTCCAATAAGCGCTCTTGTACATATTAGAGATATATAAAAACTGTTAATATAACATCGCCTACTAGTTTAAGTTTTTGGGTTAAATTAATTTTTTACAATAATCCAATCCGCCCCATTTTGACAGGTTGATGAATTGACCCGTCGGATTCAATCCATATTATACCACCTTTATTTATTTGAAAGTGCACATGGTCGAGGGTGGTTCGATTTTGAGGAACACTATCTATTTTGGAGAACTTCTATATCCATTCAACAGTGGAGAACTTCTATCTTCTCCTTTTTTAGTAAATTACTTCTATCTTTTTTACTCAACTGCTATAACTATACGTTGATATTATTAATTCAGGGGGAAAAAGATTTGTCTTAACGAAAACCTATCTTAAAAGCTTTTCCCTTTCTAGATATTAACGATATCATTTTAAATAAGACCAATAAACACCAAGTGCAAAGCTTCAATTATCTTAAGGGTATATAGTGACTGCTTAAATAGTGGCTTTTGGATGCTTGAACGCGGTAATGATAAAATAAGAGCCAAATTACTGTGTTCCGAGAGTGAAAAAAATTGGATGGATTGAGGTGAAAAAAAGAAAGAAAAAGTCGAGGAGAGAGGAGAAAAAAAAAAATTGATTCAGATATCAATTTTTGAGTGGAAGGACCACAGTGATCCTAACCATATTAAAAAATTCCATAAAATAAAATAGTCACGCCACTGTTTACCAAAAATATATATATACAAATATAGTCACGCCACTGCCCACTGTCTTAGTGGTGAACATACATTATTTTAGCAGTGGGATAACATAATCTAAATATTATATTTTACGACTCCACTATTTCTAGATTTCCAATAAGTGGCGGGAAGATGGAAGAAGGAAAAAAACGTTAATATAAAATAGATGGAAATACTTTCTCAGTCGTTGTAGAAATTAAACATGAACACATGGCGTTTCGTAAGATTGAAAGTTTGTGTAGGGTCTTTATTTGTTAGATCCGCAATATATAGCTAGAAGCCTAGAACTGCGATTTTGACGAATTCTCATGTTCACATAGCACAGCACACATTCATCTAAATTACCTTTCCATGGAAAATGGAACCTCCCATCTTGGAATTTTCCGCATAACTTAAATGGCATCCTTTCTCACAGAAGTGGTCTACAATGGAATGCTTATGCTTTTCCTTTCTGGTCTTGGTTGTTATTACTTAACAAATTCATCAAATTCATTATTTATAGCAATAAAGAAGAAAATCATAAAAACAATGTTTGACTCCATAGTCCATACACATGGCTCGTGTAAAAACAAAGGAGCAGGGTACTAGTAAACGCTACAACCTACAAGTCAAATTGATTTGGTGAGCTTTTAGTCTCCCGCGGCTAACTTTCTATATTTATTTTATTTTATTTTTATTACTATCTATCTTTCTATATTTCTGGAAGTCTCAAATCTCGGCACGCTGCAACTAAGCCTCTTCGCTAATTTTGTTGACCTAACAATACTACACACACGTCCACCGCCCAATGCTCACGCTTCAATTTTATACACAGATTGATTGATAAATCGAAGTTAAATAATTCTTCGTTAAAAAATAGCTCAGTAGCTTAATCATGACCATATTTATATTGCCAATAATATATTCATAAAATTAAAGTAATCTACTAATCTTGGGTTGTTTCATATCCTTCCAAATCAAATTTGTTTTCTTTTTTAATCATTTAATCAGAGAAAAAAGTATTATCATTTAAAAAGAAACTTTTTAATCAGTATTATTTAATCAGAGAAAAAATAATAATTATCACATAATATTTGAATTCGTTCATGAAATGGATTATTTCATGTGAGTTTTTCACCATGATAAGATGAATATTAATTAGGTAAAAACCTATTAACATTTGTGAACTCATTATTAATATAAGAGAACGGCACATAATTTTGAAATAACAAGATTGTGAAAATTCAACATATGCATTCCCATTCTTGCCCCCTGTGTCACGCTGTCATCACGCTAACGACTTATCTCCTTTCTCTATAAATACCAAAAAGAAAACATAAACATTGTACTTCAGTTCTTACATTGGAAGCAGAACAAAAAGGAACAAAACAAAACAGAGAGCTCTAGTCCTAGGAAACAGGGGCGACCTGACCTGTAAGAACACACAGAGACACAGCCATGGCAAGAAACCTCAATGCTCTCGTTCTTGTGCTACTTGCAGTAGCCACCGCTCTCCATGGCTCCGCAGCACAGACCAGACATGTGGTGGGTGACACCACGGGCTGGACCATCCCTTCTGGCGGTGCTGCAACCTACGTCACCTGGGCTGCAACCAAAACCTTCGCCGTAGGCGACACTCTAGGTAACAGATCTTGTTTACCTTTTTTCCCATCAACGAGATTTTGAATTTACATAAACATAAATTAAACATAATCATCATTCATGTAATCATGTGTGTCTTGTTATATGTAGTGTTTAACTTCTCGACTGGGCAACACGATGTAGCGAAAGTGACAAAATCAGATTTTGATGGATGCAATGGTAAGAGCGCCCTTTTGACCATAACAAACGGTCCCGCGAGCGTGACGCTCAACGAGACTGGGGAACAATATTACATTTGCACCTTTGGCTCCCATTGTTCCCTTGGTCAAAAGCTCGCTATTAACGTTTCCAAAGCCTCTAAGTCCCCTTCTCCTGCCTCTGCTCCTCAACCTAGTGGAAGTTCTTCACCAAAAACTAGTCCTATCCCATCACCAACTCCAACACCAACACCAGCACCAACTGCTAAATCTCCATCCAGTGCACCAGTTACTTACACAGTTGGAGACACTTTAGGTTGGACGGTTCCTAAGAATGGTCCTGCTGCTTTCAAAACCTGGGCTTCTGGCAAAACTTTCAAGGTTGGAGACATACTAGGTAAGTCATTAATTATTTATATCCGATAAAAAAAACCACGTGGTTTTGATATAAAAATTAAGATACTTTTATGCTATTTACAATTTTTTTTGCAATTACACTGGTATAGGATCTGTTGTGATTAATGTAGGATCAGTCCTACATAATATAGTTTGTAAGAGTTTATAAACAAAAATTTTTTGTAAATATAACTTGTCCCTACTTTTATAATTAAATTTATTTAAAATTATAATAGTCTATAATATTTTTTTCATTTTGAAAACAAATATAAATAACTTAACTATATTTATACCGGAAACATTAAAGCTATAAATTAATGAACAATATTATGATAAAAAAAAAAAAGGTGTTCATAATTTTCTGAGACAAAACCCTTTTCTTTGTATGTTCTGCAGTCTTCAACTACCAATTGAATCAACACAACGTAGACGAAGTGACAAAGGAGAAGTTCGATTCTTGCAACTTAACATCTCCTCTTGCGACTTATACCACACCACCTGTGAGAGTTACCCTTAAAAAGTCTGGTACCCATTACTTCATCTGTGGATTTCCTGAACACTGCCCTGGAGGTCAAAAGCTTGCAATCAACGTCACTGGCAGCGGCGGAAGCACCGCCACACCGCCTTCCACCGCCACACCGCCTTCCTCCGCCACTTCTCCTCCACCGTCTTCCCCCAGAAATCCTTCTTCCCCTTCTCCAACAGGTGCTGCTACTAGCCCTCCTCCACAGAACTCCAGTGCTGCATCTTTTGGAGCTGTTGGATTATTTGCCACCCTTCTGTCAATTGCGGCGGCGCTTTTCTATTAGAGAGATGAGATCATAGTTACGATTGTTGTCAACTTGTGATTCATTTTCGTTCTCCGATTGTGTTTCATAGATTCAGTTTTTTTGGTGACATTTTACAATAAAGTTAGCTTTCCCTTCATCGGCTACAGTGTTTTTTCCTCTCGTTTTTAAGTTCTTTATTCCTTTCTGATGAGAAAATTAGGTAGAGTAAGCTGTGTGAATAATAAGGTAACAAAATTACTGTATTTCTTTCTTTGAGAGTTAAGATTGTTGTTGTGCACAGTTGGAGTGGGAAATAATTATTAATGATCAACGAATTTCTATTACCTCTCACAATCACATTTTGTTTGAATGTGGAGAAATTGTGGCCTTTGGGATTGAATTAGGAAGAGGTTGATAACTTACCCACTTTAAAAACAATTTGATTTTAGAACGAAGTCTTTGCAAAGAAATTTGTGACATTTGGAAATCCACTTTTCTTTTTGAACCGAGATCAACGGATGGATTTGGAACAGGTGGAGTTGATAAGAGAGCTGCACCTCATGTAATTATTGTCAGTTTGGATGAGTTTTTATTTTTAAAAAATTTATTTATTTATTTTTAAGAAATTTTATGAAATTTTTTAGATATTTAGATAATAATCTTTTAAAAAATTAAAATTTAAAATAAAAGTTAAATGTTGCTTCTTTTTAATCAATAATTGATTGTTTTTTAAAAAAGCAGAAATTAAAAGATAATATAATTTTTTTTTTGGAAAAAAGATTATATAAATTTTTAAATATAATTTTAATATCATCCTATCATACCTATTTTATGTCTTTTTATTACACAATCATGCTATTTTATCTCTTCTTGATTGTAATTTTGTATATTACAAGTATTTTTTTATTTTAACATCCAAACAATTTTTTCATGTAAAAGTGATTTTCAGATCATACGTAAAATAACTTTATCTAATAAAAAAATTAAAAAAAAATAATGCATAAAAAATTATTTTTTAAAAAACTTATACAAACATAACCTTATTAATTTAATTATGAGGAAGGTTATACTTACAACTTTTTTTTTTACAACCTCTTACAACCATATATCATAATCGTTGATTTTCGCCAATCAACGGTTGTCATTTATTATGAATTAATAATTAATTAATGAGTTTAATTTGCGAAAGTCATAGCGGAAATCAATGATTATGATATATGATTGTAAGAGGTTGTAAAAAAAAAGTTGTAACTATAACCTCTCTCTCTTTAATTATTAGTTAAAAAATTATGAAAACTTTAATTTTTTTCCAAAGGACACTGACACATGGAGACCTATTACAAGGTTAGACTTTGCCCTGCACGTACACGACTCCAATAAATGTCATTGTTGGAAAAAATTTAATATTACGTTCGTACACTCGTAATCTAATATTGCTTCTTCTTTTTTCTTTTTTTTTAATATGAATATCCTATCTTTATCCATACTATACCACAATTTTTTACTACCATTCTAATTATCTTTGGATTCAAAAGTTATTTTTTTTTTCTTCATTTAACTTTTTCTCTAATCCAACGGTAATTAAAATGATAATAAAAATTTTAGTAGTATGAATATCCTACCTCTTCTTTTTTATGACCCACAATTTTTATATTTAGTGAAGATATAAATACATTGGATCTACTGAAAATGTGTTGACGTGGAAAGGGTATTATGTGGCCCTTTCATCACGTTGGAATTTTGTCATGGGCTCTCGCGTTGTGCATGTGCATCTATCTTGGGAGGTTGAGTTATATGTTATGTTTTGTCAAAAATTAACGTAAAAGCGTAAAAATTTATGTTTTTATATTTTTATTAGAGTGGAACGTATTAAAACTCAAGTAAAAATTGTTATCGATAAAAATTAGTAGAAACACTGTGTAAAAACGATAAAAACTTATATTTTTATCGTTTTGACCGTTTTTACTTAAAACTAAAAATTAATAAAAAAATATTTACAAAAAAATTGAAAAAAAAATTAATTTTTCGTTTTCCCTAAATTATATTCACAGTATCTTAATATCTTTTTGTTAGGATATATGTTTTTTATAATTATGTCTTATAAAGCTGCAATTCTATTATAAGTTATGCTATGAGAATCGTTTTGTGTTTTTGGATCATTGTCTGCATTGAAAGAAGTGAAATTATATCCTGACAAGCGATAATCCAAAATCTGCAGAGTATATAAAGCAGTTAGAACATATTGGTTATCTATTACTTGTTAATTATCATTGTTTATAATTTTGATACTTGGTTATGAAAAATAATTTTTCTTTTTAGATAGATAAGTGACTCAACACACATGTTCATTATGTGATATTTTTTTAACATGCATATATATAATTTTGTATCTTAACCTTAAGTGGTAAAAAGTAAAAACTTTACGTTTCGTGTCGTTTTTACGTTTTATGTTTCTACCACCACTTTCCGTTTCTACATAGAAACTCGACTTTGACAACATTGGTTATACCGATATTGACACACGACACGAAATACGACACAACATAATACGCTGACACGTTAATTTTAAAAAATGTCATATTTTAACATGTTAGGACACGTTTTAAAATTAAATAATATTTTTAATATAATTTATATTTAATACATATAACAGCCCATTATAAGTCATGTACCAATAAAATATTCACATTTCATAATATAAATATAAACAAAAATAATTTTTTGTATTTTGTTAATTTTTCATGTCAAATTTTATAACAGAAAAATGTTAATTTATAAATTATTTTTTCATGTTTAGTTAATAAAATAAAATTTAGACCTTAAAAAAAAAAATATCAAAGCATTGACCGCGTATCCCAAAATATTACCGTGGAAACCTGGTGCAGGAAGTGAGGAATCCACTTGAAGAGTTTAATGTCATAAGTCATAACTCATAACACTAGATAGTTTAGTCAAATGCTTAATTTTGCAACTTGATTTGTTATATGCATCAGAGTTCCTTCTTATATTTTAACACTGACTTTTGCAAATTTATTTGGTAGCTTGCAAAAATTTTGCCTCCCACAAGAAAAAATCTTGGGTCTGCCACTGCATGTGCACATGTAGTTGGATTTATGATGAGTTTTTGTGGGTTCAAAACATATCACCTAATTCAATTTTGAGGGACCTAAAATTAGTAAATTTTTTTGAAGAGTATAACTTTTTGATCGGTTACTCGAATTACGTGTTATTTTTTCATTTCACGTGAAATTTTTATATTTATGCAACCACAAATCCCCTGGTCTAAGAAATTTTATTTTTTTAAAAAAAGAAAACTTTTGTTAAGAGGTTTCTGGAATGTCAAAGGAATTTACATTTATGTGTAATATATGTAATATATTTATGTTTAAAATTGCATATGATCTTCGCTATGCTCCTATTTTGACTTTCCTTCTATTATCTACTATTTTTTCATGTTTTAAACCCATGAAAATTCTTCACAAGGCCAATTTCATGTGTACACGAGATCATAGATTGTTTTGAATCAAAAGGGTTGAGTTTTGCATTTTAATATATTGGGACCATTTACTCGAATAAATGATTTTCGGACGAATAGAAAGTGGACATTAGGGCTCCCGTTTTGATTTTCCTTCCCTTATCTACCACTATTTTTATGTGTTTAAAACCCATGAAAATTCATCGCTACACTAATCATATGTGTATATTGTTAGAATTTTTATAATTATTGTGGGCTTCAATTAATTATAAATTTTTTTGTTTTGATAAAAACGGGCTAAGTCATGATCCATATAGAGATGCAATATAAAGTTCATCTAATTAAGTGATTATTTAGTTTACCACTAAGCTACATTTGTTTCTTACTCTTTTAAGTTATATGATATAATATGTAGGAATTGCAAGTCCTACTTTTAATTTTTAAATTATAGAATGGAAATGCTGGCGCCCATGCTCTGCGTGATCTAAAGCTAAAAGATGCATCAAATGACAGACTGCAATGTTCATACAGGCCCAAAAAAATGTTTTAAAGTATAAATGACACCTAGTCCTAGAAATGAATATGCTTATAATTTTGTCAACATTTTGGTTATATTTGTATCTTGTTCATAGTCAAAATGAAGCAGCTGAGTGGAATTTGGGTGAATTTGTTTTTGTGGAACTTAAAATGATATATTTTCGGTCAAAGACTAAAAGAATTGAAAATATTCAGCAATGCACGCGTATTGCCAACGAAATCTCTGATTGTGAATGGAAATTTACTCACCTGATTAACTTTGCGCTTGTGATATAATTTGAGTTTGAATATAATACTTTTAATATGTGATTTTTAATTTCATTACATATTTTAGTTAAAACTAAGAATAAATTTTTAATACTTATTTAATATTGAGGACTCAATATACATCAACTAAAATTTTAAAATACATCTAACCGCATTTACTCCATTAACTTTTTTATTTTTACGTAAATGAGTTGAAGTATTTCTAATTTTGATAAAAGAATATGTCCTATATTTTTTATTTTTAGAAAAAAATATAGTACAAAAATATGAAAAATTTACTGTTAAAATTAAGAGTTTTCTCTAATTTTAGAATAGGAAATAAAAAATTCTTGTTATCTTATATTTTTATTTAAAAAATAAAACATATATCTGGTTTAGACCTTGACTGCCCCCAAAAGCTTAGAATTTGGCTCCCCACTGACGTGGGCATAAAATATAAAATATAAATTTATGATTACAGTAAGGGGATTATAAAGCATGCTTTGGGTTTTTCGTGTTTATTTTATTATGTTGATTAACTTTGTGGAGTGGAGAGTGCTACGAGTTAATTCAATTTATAATAGTACATGAAAAAAGAAGAAGTGAAAGTTATTCATGTCACACACTCACAAGTCACACCAGCAAACTTTAGTATAAAATTCTGAAGGCACATGGCTTGCTTTTGCGCATTCTATTATTGTAATTATTGGGCTTCGATTTTTATAACTTAATTTAGTCGCAATGTACCATCCAACTGTAGCGGCGAAAATAGTGGAACAGTGACAGCCCAAACGTAATTAACTGACAACCGATGTTGCAAGACCGATAGAAAAATGTGTCTTGATTGGCGGCGGGTGCACCCCCGATACGATGCATCAAAAACATCAAAATACATATACGAGGAATGTTTTTAAACCCGAATATATACATTTTTCATATTTAAAATAAGTTAAATAAAATTTATTAAATAAGTTCAAAACTTACTCGATCACATTTTTATAAGTTCATAAATCACAAATAAATAAAAATATACGTT